AGCGGTTCACGTCTGCGTTGGCTCTGCCAGGGCCAGGTCAATGCTGGGAGGGTGGTGAGACACTGGGACAGGTTGCCCAGGGAAGTTGTGGACACCCCCTCCCTGGAAGTGTTCAGCGCCAGGTGGGATGGGGCTTGGAGCAGCCTCGTCTAGTGGGAGGTGTCCCTGCCCATGGCAGGGGGCTTGGAACTAGGTGATCTTGAAGGTCCCTTCCAACCCAACCCATTCTATGGTTCTGTGATTTGCAGCCTGGGAAGACTGACCCAGCCACCAGTCTCCTGCCCCTGCTGCTGCACCCAAAGGAAGCAGCAAGGGCCATCGCGGTTCTGGCTTCTCTGGCAGGGTCCTCACTGCAGCTTCGTGCCTGGCAGGTCCTCAGCAGCCCTCTACCAGCTGCTGGTCGATGGCTTTAGGATGGGAGTATCCACCACAGACACTGGATCATCACAGATGTCTGCCCTACCCTTGTGGGCACCAATCCCCCTCCTGGTATTGAGGGGACTTTCTTCTCTGGGGCATTTTGGCTGCACAGCTGCTCTGGAGTTCTGTGGAGCCACCAGAATGTAGTGCAGACGTGCTCAGGACTTCTTGTAAATACCCCACCTGGGTGAGGAGCAACATACTGGGCAGCAGCTGCTGTGGAGTCCAGCTCCATTCCCCAGTTTAGTGAGAAGGATGACTTGTTCTCCACTCTTGGAGGGAAAACTCAGGCTAGTGGCATGTAATTCATATCCCCTTATTCTGTGTGGATCCTTGGCTACTCTTAAAATTTACCCTTCTTCTGCCTCACTTTCCTACCAAAACTGTTCCCTCCTCTTTCTGTCTCCAGGGAGCTGTCCTGAAGGGCCTCGGGAGAGGAGGAGAGAAGCCCCCAGCAGTGGGAAGTCTCCCAGGGAGGGAGTGCTGAGTCATCTAGAGCTACCTCTTCCCTTAAACAGACCCCCAGGACATTCAGGTGGCCTGCCCTTTGACAGCCTTACTCATCTAGCATTTTTTCTTAGGTTGACTGCACCTCCTCACAGGCCCCTTTTCTCCGTCAGCTCTCCTGCTTGAGCATCCCTCCGTCCTTGCTCTCAGTGCTTGGCTTTTGAAACGTTTGATGTGTGGTTGTCTCCCTCCCCTGAGTCTGTCCTCATGCACAAGAAAGGAGGCTTGTGTGTCTGACGCTTGGCTTCTCTCTGTAGTCATTTGGCACTGAAAATTATCTGCAGAGAAAAGTTACTGGGCTCCATACCTGGGTCTTAATTTCCTCCCTCACCAAACCATTGCTACTAATTACTGCTCCTAGGTGTTTAAAACATTTCAATGATGCTGTTAAATATCTGGCATTAGTTTTAATAGCCAAGTATCTGGGCTTCCCCACATGAGCAGCTCAGAGAGCGTCTCCCACAGAAACAAACCCCAGCCAGTCCTGGCTGTGGTCCATACGAGAGAGGCAGCAGAGGAGTGGGAAGCACATGTAAATGGCAGGGCCAGGAGCCAGGGATTTCTCAACAGGGAGGACTTTTTTTCCTCTACTGTCCCCCAAAGGGAGCCCTGTCTCCAGCCATGCAGCCTCCGCAGCGAGGGAAGACCTGGCACTGCTGCCAGTGCCGGATGGCATCCTTTGGGCAGGGCATGCCCTCTCCAGCTCAGCTCCTTTGCCAGAGCCACCCTAAGGGATTGCTTTTGTCTGAGTGGGGCAGCATGCTCCCTGGCAGATGCCCTGCCTGCCTTCCACCCATCCCTGGCCAGCATTTGAGAGTGCCTCTTCAGATTTGGAGGAGGGGCTGTCAGAAATCAGCCCCATGCAGGGCCAGGTTTTGCTTTCCTCTGGCACTTGAAAGCAAGGAATGGTCATTGGCCAGACCAGAGATGTCCCAGGGCTGGGCCCCTACTGGGATCTGACTGGAGGCATCAGACCAGACTTTGCCTGCTGCATCTCTGCTCCTGCTGTGCTGCAGAGGGCCTGCTGGCTCTCCTCCCCCACTGCTGGGGCTTGAGGCTGGGGCAGTGGCACTTTTCCAACCCAGATATGTTAACTAACGTCTCAGTCACAAGTATCCATCATCCACAGGACCTCAGTGGCTCAGTGCTGTGGAGGAGAATACCCTGGTTCCCTGGTCACACCTGGTATACCCAGGGCCTGCCCCAGCACACAGCCCCAGCACTGGGAGGGGCAAGCAAGTGTCATGGGGAACACTGAGACCCAGGAGGAGCACAGAGTAACATTTTAGGATCTTGCGCCCACTCAACCATTAATGGGAAAGAGGAGGAATGAGAGCTTCCACTCATGCAAAAGCCCTTTGCTTTCAATGCTGCCTCTTTAAGACATCACTTAATATGACAGATTAATTAGTTAATGTTTGTAAAGTGCTTTGAACATAAAAAGTGCTGTAGATGTGCCGAGTATTACTGTTAAATATTATGGCACGGAGCCTGGCCCCATCTGAGCAGCATTCTCTGTGCCTAATTTCAGGCCAGTGCTGTTTCCTCACCTCTTCCCCTCTGTTGCCCCATCCTGTAAAAGTCAGAAGGAGAAGGGGAGAAACAGAGAACTAAGACCCTCTGCACCCAGAGAGGAAGAAGCACCTCTTGGAGCCATGTAGGGAGGCTGAGCCACGCAGCCCCTCTGCTCTGGGCAAGGGAGTTGCATGGGAAGTGGGGCTGCATCTCCACAGTGCCCCACTGGCATGGGGGGTGACAAGGGGGCATCCTCCTGCCCCAAGCTCTGCAGTGGGCGGGGTTGGAAACTCTGCAGGGAGGATGGAGAAGATGTGTGTGGGGATTTCTCCAGCTCATCCCACCCTTGCCTGTGTGTGGGCTTCCCGCACTGGTGGCAGCTGCAGAGCCAGGCAAGAGGGTGAGGAGGGGGTGAGAAGGTTTTGGGGTCTGTGAGCTAGACAGGGCAGGGAGGCAGCTGCATCCCAGACGTGTGTGTGGCAGGGCTGGGAGCTCCCCGATGTTCCCAGAGCGGGCGCCTGGCCTGCTTTGCTGCCTCTCCCCTCCTCGTGCCCTCCTTCTTTGTGAGGCTGCTCCTGGGAAGGGTCCCAAGAGGAGGAGCAGAAGTGGGGCGGCAGGTGCCCCCAATTACCTCAGCAGTGAAGTGTCCTGCTGGGCTGGCCCATGAGATGTGCACGCTGACAGACACGCTGGGGAGGTGTGGGGTGGGTGTGAGGTGCTGGGGGCCCAAAGGAAGAGAGAGGGGTGAACTGGAGCAGAGTGGGGGGACAGGGACGGCCAAAGTGGGGACCCACAGGTGCTGGCCAGGGGACCTGGATGATGAGCACCACTATCAACCTGTGCAAGGTGCATCGGGTGGTGGGGAGGACTGCAGTGCTGTGATGGCACTGCAAGCCATGGGTGTCTGCTGGGACAGCCAGAGCCAGGTGTGCCTTCACCCCACTGCACCTCTGCTGCCACCAAATTAACCTGCCTCATTCCACCTGCTGATTCAGCTTGTGGTATTGCTTGCCCACCATGGGTCAAACCATAACAGAAAGCCATGGAGGGTCCCGTGGCAAGTGGGAGTCCAGTGGAGGATGAGGGGATCTTGGCCTGTTGATGGCACCTCTGCTGCCACTGGTGGGGTGGGAAGTGGGGGGACACATCAGGGGCCTGGTCCCCCTGGCAGGGCTCTCAACTCCCTGCCCTGCTGCCATCTCACCTGTTTCTGGGTCTGCAGCTCTGGCTCTAAGTAACACCCTGCTCTGAGCTCTGACTCCAAGCATTTCCACCAGGTAGCTGCTGTCAACCCAGCTACTGAGGAAATTTCCAGAAATCCCATGCATAGTGGAAGAAAACACCAAACCAATGTTACAGGCACTTTCTTTTCTCTCTCCTCTTTGAGTCCTCAAGCCTGTGCATATTCTGAGCTTGCCGGTGGTTCTGTTCTTGCCACCATGAGAGCCACTGTATTCATCTGGGATTTGGGGCATCGTTTCTTGTGATAACACCATTCCAGGAGGGGTGATACTGAAGCTAAACAGGGGCTGGAGCAGATGTTTTGGAGTGCAGCAGGGAAAACCCACACATGTGACTTAAATATACCCACACGTACTTCAAAAGAAGTTGTGGTAAAGCCTTCTCCTCTTGCCTTGTCCTTCTTCCTTGTATCTCAAAGAGCAGCTTCAGAAGATTGGTTGAAGCCAGACCATCTGCTGAAGGGCACAAAGCTGTCTGCAATAGTTGACTCTCTTGCTGGGTTTCCAGGTACTCCTCTGGCACAGTGGGACAATAACCCCCCCCCCCCAATAAATCCACATAAAACAAGGACGAAGTTTTATATATATAAAAAAAAAATCTTTATTTCATGTACCAGGATTTTTTTTTCTTTCTTTTTTTTTTTTTTTTGTAATTTTCTCTTTTTAAAATTTTTTTTCCTTTTTAACAGTCTGAAAAAAACCACGAAATAAAGAAAATGGAGGTTGGTTTCTTGTACTGGTTTGAGCTGGACATGAGCAACGCCCTTGGAAAAACACTTCCCCGCCAGCCCCCGCCTGCCGCCGGCGCTCTCCCGACATGCTTCCCATGCTCTCCTGGCATGCTCCCGGTGCTTTCCCGGCATGTTCCCCCACTCTTCCCTTCCTACCTGGCCCTGGGGCGCGCTCAGCCCTGTGAATGCTCCCCAGCTCCATGTGGCATTGGGTGGGTGAGGGCTGCTGGGGATGGAGACCCCAAGGCTGCCCTCCCTCTTATGTCAGGCTCCGGGAAACTGGCTTTAACTTATTCCCTTGGGGGGCAGTGGGGAAGGGAGTGGAGGGACCCCTGTGAATCTTTTTTGAAGGGCTAGGGGGTCTTGGGAGGGGGATTTCAGCAGTGGTGGTGGGGGGTGAGTCTGGACACCCGGTCAAGTGGCTCGTATCCTCCCCATGCCCTGTGATGCTGTTTTTGGGGGCG